AAAAAAAATACAAGGCTGTTCAGCGGGACATGCACAGGGTGGTTCTGGGTCTGTATATGTGACCACTCAGCTCTCCCAGCACTCCAGGTGCCCACTGGATCTAGCAATGAGTCTGAATATCTCCAGCCAGTCTGCCTTTCAGGCGTGGGATCAATAATAGGCTAAAAAGTGGGGAAACTGAGGTTGCGGAAGCTGAAGGTGGAAAGCTGGGGGAAGCTGGCCTCCCAGCAGTTTTTCATGTGTAGGAGTCACCCTGGGACGTGCCAGATGGGCAGGAGGTGAGTGGTGAGTGCGATGCCACTGTCCAGTGCTTCAGAGATAACACCTGCTTGGTTTCCAGAAGTTGCTCACTGCTTCCTGCCGTATGGGTTTGGTTGAGGAGCACATGCAAACATGCAGTATATACGCATACATATACTTCTGTATTTTGAAAACTTGTAAATTAGAAAATGACATACTTAGAGAAAAGTACACTAATTACAAGTATATAAGATTTTCACAGGGTGACCGTATTGGTTCACTGTAGTCCCCTGTGCTGTTCCCACGCACCCCTACCCAGAAGCGGCTGTACCCTCACTTATGGCCCTGTAGGGGATGTAGATCCATGATACTGTGTGTGCTGTGACTTCTGCCAGCACTGTATAGGTCACTGTCTGTGTTATATGGAACCATGGTTACCTCATTGCTATAGTGGCATAAGTCTAGTGTTTGATTCACTTGGGGAAAATGATCTGCTTCAATTTTTCTTCCCAAGCAGCTTCTGACATGGCCTTAATGGACCAGCTGGGTGGCTTTCAGGATTGGGAGGCTGCAGGAGGGAGGAGGCTGTGAGAGGGAGGAGGCCAAGAGCCCTAGGAGCTGTCAGGTCAACCGGGTGTGGGGGAGCCAACCCTCTGTGTGGCTCCTTGGGGTTTCTGGAATGTGTTTATTTTTGCTAGCAGGAAGTTGGTGATTCTTGACATGTTTTTAGGTGATACCTGGCATTTATCGAGCTCATACTAGGTGCAAGTACCATGTCAAGGGCTTTACTTAGATTCCCTTTCAATTTACATCTGCCGATACTGGTGTGTTATTCATGTTCTGGCGAGTGAGGCCTTGGGCAGGCGGGGACTGCACCTTGAGCTTCCATGAGGGCTGTGGCCTCCCTCCCTAACTGTGTTCTTTTCTGTGTAGGTATGTCATTGACGGTGCCACCGCTCTGTGGTGTGCGGCTGGAGCAGGACACTTTGAAGTGGTGAAGCTTCTGGTCAGTCACGGAGCCAACGTGAACCACACCACGGTGACAAACTCAACCCCCCTGAGGGCAGCGTGCTTCGATGGCCGACTGGACATTGTGAAGTACTTGGTTGAGAACAACGCCAACATCAGCATTGCCAACAAGTATGACAACACCTGCCTGATGATCGCAGCATACAAGGGACACACGGATGTGGTAAGGTACCTGCTGGAGCAGCGTGCGGACCCCAACGCTAAGGCGCATTGTGGCGCCACAGCCCTGCACTTTGCGGCCGAGGCGGGGCACATCGACATCGTAAAGGAGCTGATAAGATGGCGTGCTGCCATTGTGGTCAACGGCCACGGCATGACGCCATTGAAGGTAGCCGCCGAGAGCTGCAAGGCGGATGTTGTGGAGCTGCTGCTCTCCCACGCCGACTGCGACCGGAGGAGTCGGATTGAAGCGCTGGAGCTCCTGGGCGCCTCCTTTGCGAATGACCGTGAGAACTACGACATCATGAAGACATACCACTACCTGTACCTGGCCATGCTGGAGCGGTTTCAGGACAGCAGTAACATCCTGGAGAAGGAGGTCCTCCCGCCAATCCACGCCTATGGGAACAGGACGGAGTGCAGGAGCCCACAGGAACTGGAGGCCATCCGGCAGGACAGGGATGCCCTGCACATGGAGGGCCTTATCGTCCGTGAGCGCATCCTGGGGGCGGACAACATCGATGTCTCGCACCCCATCATCTACAGGGGTGCCGTGTATGCGGACAACATGGAATTCGAGCAGTGCATCCGGCTGTGGCTGCACGCCCTGCACCTGAGGCAGAAGGGCAACAGGAACACACACAAGGACCTGCTGCGGTTCGCACAGGTCTTCTCACAGATGATCCACTTGAACGAAACCGTGAAGGCCCCGGACATCGAGTGTGTTCTGCGGTGCAGCGTTTTGGAAATAGAGCAGAGTATGAACAGAGTAAAGAACGTCTCCGAGGCTGACGTCCACAGTGCGATGGACAGTTACGAGTGTAATCTTTACACCTTCCTGTACCTGGTGTGCATCTCCACCCAGACGCAGTGCAGCGAGGACGACCAGTGCAAGATCAACCGGCAGATCTACAACCTGATCCACCTCGACCCCCGGACGCGTGAGGGCTTCACGCTGCTGCATCTGGCTGTGAATTCCAACACGCCTGTGGACGACTTCCATACCAACGACGTGTGCAGCTTTCCCAACGCTCTGGTCACCAAGCTGCTGCTGGACTGTGGTGCGGAGGTGAATGCTGTGGACAATGAGGGCAACAGCGCCCTGCACATCATCGTGCAGTACAACCGGCCCATCAGCGACTTCCTAACACTGCACGCCATCATCGTCAGCCTAGTGGAGGCGGGCGCACACACGGACATGACCAACAAGCAGAACAAGACGCCGCTGGACAAGAGCACCACTGGGGTGTCCGAGATCCTGCTCAAGACTCAGATGAAGATGAGTCTGAAGTGCCTGGCGGCCCGAGCCGTGCGGGCCAACGACATCAGCTACCAGGACCAGATCCCGCGGACCCTGGAGGAGTTTGTTGGCTTTCACTGAGCAGCCGGGCGGGAATCGCTACCGTGGTGCTAATGCCAAGGACTTGGGCCACATGCCTCAGGGTCATGTGTGCGTGAGCTCCGCCTCTTCCCACGGCCTCCTCCCGCCCATCCTCTCTGGCTGTGTGTTTGGTCTTTTTGCCTCAGGTGGTGATTAATTTCAGATACACTAGCCAAGCCACATTGCTGAGGTGGGACTATCACCTGAGGTGTTCGGATCTAGTCACCTGTTTGTCTTTCTTTTTTTAAGGAACAGATGTAAAATATTTTGTTTATGTCACAAGGGACATGTATGATCTCAAGTCGGTCATGTTTTAAACAGCTGCTCACAAAAGTACAAAAGTGTTTCTGTTAAGCCGTGTCAGCGTGTTGTCCATGCAGCAGCTCTGAGGATTTCATGAAGAGAAAGAACGAAAAAGGAGCATTGAGAGTCACGGGGTGTTCAGGGGTTCTGCCCATGCCAAACTGCTGGAGAGTGTTCACTCTCTGTTGTTGATGTGGTGTGATACCACACACCTTAGCATCAGGGGGACTGAAAAAATGTGGCTGCGGGTTAATCTGGAAAATGTACTAACTTAACACTATTTACAGATTCCTGAAGTGGAGTCCATCGAACTGTCGCATTGTGCTGGATAGTAGGCACAGAGTGATGAGAATCTTAGACCTTTTCCCAGAGAATGTCGTGGCCTCTCTCCCTCTGGGCTTGAATTTCTTCAAAGTCTGTTTAACGTGATTTATCTGATATTGCAGCAGTCTGCATTTGGATTTCGTTCGCAGACATGTACAGGTGATGAACGCTGCCTCTTATGAAGCCCCCCAGCCACGGTAGAGCTGTGCGTTCTGTTTTTGTCACCCTCCCTCTTTCCTCCTGTCCTTTTACAGCTTGGAAGCTGCTTTTCTGGGAGTGTGGTTTGTACCTCTGTGATCACATGTCTATGGCAAATGCAAAGAAACCATGATATTTTGAAATTTCTTCACTTTCTCTACTTAGTCTGTGACAAAAAGTAGAAACATCACTGGTGTGGTGTAGGAAATTAAGTGTTTTTGATGATAAAAATAATTCTCAATGCCACTTGAAAGGTATTTGTGTCAGAGCTGCAAATTTTCAACCACAAACTATCACTTATTCCAGCAGGCTACACAGAGGTCTTGATGGTCTTTTGTTTTGTTTTGTTTTCATGGCAATGTTTAACTGTCAAACTAAAAGAGTATTCTGTGCTTATCTTTTAAGCATCACAGAAATTCAAGTAAAGGATACGCGCCTATTTCTATTGACGTTAAAGACGCTAATGAAAGTGAAATGAGCTGTATCTGTAACTTTCTCTCTAGTGCCAAATGAATGCCTTAGCTCCTCATAGTGCATGGTATTGTACGTGAAGACCTGCAGCTTTTCTTTTCCTCAACGAAAGCATTATAACAATGTGACAACATCAGATATAAACATAAAAGAACTAGTAAGGTTTCAGTTAATATTGGATAATGCTGTGTCAAGTATAAGAGAAAGACTGCAGTTGGGTCAGTACAAAACAATGACCAAGCCAAAATCCGCACCTGGGGCCTTAAATAAGAGAGATATACCCTACAGAATAACATGTTTTGAAGGGTGGGAGGGGACAGAAGGGGAACTTTGAACTTTCCCCCAAGTATACAAAGAACTTTTACAGTGGTTATTGTGATACTTTGTATCATCTTGCTTCAGTTAGGAATGTTTTGGTGGAACATTCTGTCTGGGTAATAGATCTCTGCTTTCCTGACCTGAAGCTTTGCAAGGAAGCTTTTAAGATGGCTAAAAGGGAAGTGTTGAACGATCCTTAAGTGGAATGAGACTGACTTTCACCCTCCTGGTGTGAATCAGGGAGGTGCATGCTTGGCTTGTGGCAGCTCAGTGGCCTGCAAGAGAAATGCCTGCCTGTGAGGGGAGGGAGCCACGCCTTTCCACAACCCAGATCAGACCTTTATTTTTCCGACTAAAAGGCGTACTTGTTGGACAGTCTGAGGAATTGTTAGGATACTTGGTTTTCAGTCGGTTCTATTATTACTGCGTATGATTTTTAAACACCCAAACTTAAAATATCAGATAATGCTGCACGTTTTAAAAACACACGTCATTCCTTTGGCTACCCAGGACCAGCACTGTTTAAGACACCACTTATTTATAAAATGAGGACAATGATGATATGTACATATGTAGACATCCAGTATGATGCGATGTTTTGGAGATGGGGAGGTGGGGAGGGGGTGGGAGAAACTTTGCCTGGAGGCTGGCAGAGCTGGGAAAGGGTCTGAGGACGGTGGGATGTGCCAGGAGCTGTGCTGATGGTGACTCGGCGTTTGGCTCGCGGAGTGCAGTGGCCCAGCATGCTGTGTCTTGTGAGGACTGAGTCCATCTTGTGAAATCAGTTCAGATGTGTGTTGTGAAGCACCTGGATATAGCCAGGTTGAGACAAGCAATCCACATCCCTGTGTTTTTGGTGGAATTGTTTTAAGACATGTTTAGCCAAACCCTTCCCAAACCTAAATTTAATTTAAAGGAAAACAAATAGGTAAGAAAACAACAGTTTTGCGTCTCAGCCCCTGGGTGCTCCAGGCTGTGTCCCTCTAGTGGCTTTATCATCTGGTGTGTGCTGTTGGTATTCTTATGCTTGGCGTTGTCACTTTCTTGTGGCATTGCACATTCAACTACTACTCTATCCTGCTCAGTAATTGTCATATAAATCTGGATAAGTTTTAGAGGCCCAGGTGATACTTTCATTTGCAAATCATGTGTAACTCAAATGGGTTTTATGCTCTGAATAGAGTTGGTGAAATTGAAATCTTGAGTTTGGACTACTTAACTCAAGGAGTGGGTTGAAACTCATCCCCAGTTGATAAGAGAGGGGAGCATCTTCACATGAGAACTGACTTGCGACATCACCTTTTCAGTCCAGCTGGTGTTGACCGACTGGCTGCAGTCCCGTGACCTTAAGGTTCTCAGCGGCCAGTGCCTGAAACTGATGAGCCAGCCAGAAAGCAGACCACCTGCAAGCCTCAGTTTTGTTTCATTAAACTACAAGTTGATTAATAATTGGTAAATGTGTGAAGAGATATGGTAGTATTATTTGAATTAAAAGATGATTTGGGAACAGCAGCTCCCTAAACACCAATTCTGTGTGTTCAACAAGTGTTTTGGAAATTAGAACATCCAAGGAACCGCACCCCATCAAGAGTTCCCAGCATGGTTGAGGCACCTGCTTCCTGAAGAAGACCTTTGGGTCATTCAGGCAGAGGCATGCTGCTTTTCTGGAACAGATGGGGTGAGGAGTGAGTTCTCAACCTGTGGTTCCAGTTTGCGCGTGTAGGAAAGCCAGCAGCTGCCCCTGGGAGGTGGTGCTTGGAGGTGTGAGGGCTCCGTTTTTATGGTAGATTTTCCATAAGTCTCCACTGTTCCTTTTCAGGCAAGCCAGACGTGTCCCGCACAGGTGACTGTTCTGTTTTCTCACTGACTATCACTGTAAAGGGTTAAAGCATGGCTCTGCCCTTTGCTCTGTGGAAGTTGTAGCCCAGGAGACCAGCTGTGTGCTCACCCCGTCATGGAGTGTGGCTTTGTTCTGCTGTTGTCTCAGGAGTGGAAGGCCCCAGTGACATGAGCCACAGTGCAGGCCTTTCCTGAAGTCTTCTGGCAGCCTTGGCTGCCTGCAACTGGGCTGGCTGGACAGCACCCCTCCCCAGACGCGGGACCTGAAGCAGGCACTACACTGACAGTGGCAACATGGTGATTTTTAAACTGTAAAGTAAATGTGGTCTCTAGTCCTAGGTTTGTGGCGTGTACCTTTGTGTTAATGTGTAGGGAAAAGCCAATGACTTGGTGGCCTGGAGGAGTGTCTCATGTGCAGGGCAAGTGTTGTTAAACTGCTGACGGCTTTTCCCAGGGTGGGTCATGTGAACAGCCTGGTCAGGACAAGGAAGGCACTGAGACACAGGCTGGCCACGGGATGGATCGAGCAAGGCTTGGGAGCTGTTTGCTATCAGGTGTTGTGCAATGTGTGCATGGCTTTCTTGTTGCTTTGTAATTGGTAGAGGAGAAAAGATGAGGAAAACACTCTGCTTTCCCCACCCATGTTTCCAGAGGTCAGAGCTGGGGAGGAGAAGTTAACTGGCTTGATCTCTGGAGAAGACCCTGTCCTTTCTAACACTCACCTGCAACCCTCACTAGAGGAACTGCGTTGTTGTGTTCTAGTAAATCACTGTGATTTATAACAAACCAGTGATGTCATTCTATTGTGCACTTTTGTCAAACCATTTATGTGACTTTAATAAACATAGTAAACTTGCTGACTGCCCAGAGGTCTATTAGTGATTTCTATATTGCATGGCATTTTCTATTGAGTTTGACTTGTCGAATCATTTTTAATTTCATGGCAATTGACAGTCCTAATAGCTCAGCTCATTTGAAACTAACAATCTTGCTGTGTAAAAGGAAAAAATGGTGTTTGTGTTCAGTTCAGTAAATGTTTGATAAAAACTACTTTGAGGTTTGTGTCTTTATTGTTCAAATGTGCCTTAGTTGAGATGATCATTTGCTGAGTTCACTACAAGAAGTTACACATATACATGGGAGAAAATGGAGATAACAAAGAAAACTCCAAACAGTAAAAAGAAAAGTTCCCTGCTTCTCTGCAGAGAAATCACTACCAGTGGTATTTTGAGTGGCTCCCTGGGTCTGTTCTGTGCATATGTTTGTCTCCTCCTTTTTTAAAATACACGTAACCTTTGTTACCTTTCCCTCATGGCTCTGCGTGTTGTCGCTTTCATTTACCCTACCTTAGGCATTTTTCTGTTTCCATATATAAAGATTTTTAAAACAACGTTGGAGCATTTAATTCTGTGAATGGCTTTAACATTTATCTAACCAGCTTTTACTGATGGACTTCGAGGTTTTCAGTTTTTGATAATGCTGCATCTTTCTATGCAGTATTTATAGGACAAATCCACTCCTTGCACTGAAACTTCTGGCTTAGTGACCACAATGTTTATAGTCCTGGCAAAGGCTATCAAATTGCCTCCCATTGCCCTGTACCTTTATTAACATTGGATATTACCTGACCATTTAGTTTTTGCAAAGGTGATTAGTGAAAAATAGCATTTAAGGCTTTTATTATATTCCTTTATTATGAATGAGGTTGACCACTTTTTCATACATGTATTGGCCTACTTATATTTCCTTTGTGTTTGGGTTGTGATCTTTTTCTGCTATTTGTTAGAATTTCCTTGGAAGTTTAAGGAAACGTTCTCTGTCATGTAACAGTTGTAGTTGGGTTTTTTACTTTAGATGTGGTAGTTCTATATCAGAAGTTTACATCTTTGTGTAGTCAGGAGTATCAACCTTTTAAAACGGATTCTGAGATTTTGGGTCTGCTTGTAAGGCTGTTTCTGTTCCAGGGTCATGCGTCTCTTTCACCTGTGTTTTTTCTACTTGGAAAAAGCAGCTTTTATGGCTTCCCTTCTTTCACCTTCTCTCCTCTGGTTTAAGTTTTTGACCCACATGGAACTGACTTGGCTGTGAGGATCCCACTGAAGTGACTTGTCAACTGAATTCCCTGATCTTTTTCTGGGTTCTCTTTGTTGGTCTGGAAGGGCAACTAGACTCTGGGGAGAACTGTCTGGGTCTTGACACTGGCCCCACCACTTGCTGCCTCTGTGACCCCAAGCAGTCCATCCATGCCTCTGTTTCTGTAAGTTGGGACAATAACACTCTCTCACTTGGACAGTGATGAGCACATGAGAGTGTGAAAATGCTTGGTGTAAGTGCCTGACAGAGGACGTTGTCTGGTGAGTGTTCGTGTCCTTTGTTGGACTAGCATTTCTTCATTTGCCTTTTTTAGGGTCTTGTTTTCATTATTTTGTGTTTATATTTTCAGGTGAACTTTGACATCATTTTATCATGTTAAGAGATTATTCGTTTAGCATTTAACTAATAGAGAGATTCACCATTAC